AAACAAAAATAAAAAAACACGTATTTCTTTTTTTTCCATATAGATTGAGAAAAAAATATGTTTAACCGAATTCTCAAGGTCATAGGTAAATCTTGCGTGGAATTGCCCATATATTAAAAAGCCGATTGGTTTATATAAAAACATTTCTTTTTATATGAGCCAACTTTTTCGTGTACGCCGAAGCGGATATATAAACTGTTTTTGTTAGATACCAACACTGTGTGTGATAATCGACTAAAAAGCGTTTTTTCAAAAAATGCAAAGTACTTTTTTTCCAAGTTAATTAATTGGAAAAGGTAAATGTAATGCATTTTCTTTTAGTGTTTTCCTTATATTTTGTGATGCAATATTGCATTGTTCCAATCTACGGTTGAAAATAATTTAATTTTCCTTTTTCAAAATAGCGCCAATTTCTGGGTGTGAGACACAGCATATCACCAGTTGTAAGACGGTGTCAACACCCATCTGGGCAGCATAAAAAATACGACTTTGCAAGCATGTCAAGTGGAAGAAAGTCAATTGATTCAGAAGAAATCAATTTTAATGCTCTTGTTGAAGCTTGTGTTTATTTGATAGTCATATTTTGGCGAATAAATATTATTATTTAGTATATAATAATATATATTATTAATATATTTAATTATTTCTACTAAACATAACGTTTTATGTCAAACTTATTCAATTTTAGCAATTTTTAATGAGTGTCTCACAACTGGAGACATTTTTTTTTTGACAAAAGCGATGTGCTCGGAAAATGTATCGTAAAATTTTTTGAGTTCATCGAAACACTACACTTTCTTTGAATAAAAGTTGCGTATTTCTGTTACCTTTCGAACGGTGTATTTTAATTACAATTTCGTTTACCCGTTTACAATATACGGGTCAAAAATGAAACCCGTCTCACAACTGGAGACTCTCCCCTACTTTTGAATTTTTGAAAGTTTAACTTTACCTACTATAACAAAAGAAAACTGTGTCCTTTTTAAGGGCTACAATTTTAGCTTATTTGAAAATGTTCAAATAAGAGTATAAAATTAAATATCTATTATGATTTTTAACATTAGTTTCTTAAATTTAAGAATTTTGATAAATTTTCCACATTACTCAAAATGTAATGTTTTTATTTCTATTTAATTTGATTTTTAATTTGAGCTATTAAGAGATTTTATGTTTTTGAATAATTTGTCTCTTACTAGCAACAGAAATGGTTTTATAAATCCGTATTTGAATAAATTTAGCAAGTGGGTTAAAATTTGATTATGCATTTATGTGAAAGCAGAGTGCACATGCATTTTAAAGGGTCATTACCTTCTTTAGGTCCGATTTACTGTTTCTGGCACAGCACCAGGTTAATTCATTTAAATTGGTTTAAACTCTTCTCGCAGATTATTTTATTTATTTCTTTTTTTTTTGTTCTCTAACCTCTAACAGTATTTCATTTTTGAAATTTAGCAGCAGATAAAATGAGGATAGAGTAATTCTTTAGACAACGTAAATATTTAACGATTTATAATATTTAAAAGGATGTGCCTGATATGAAATATTTAAAGTAAGAAGAGGAAATTTTATTCTAAATTTTAATATTTCAAAATTTTATCTATATTATGATATTATGGTACGTATATAAAATGCGGACATGAAAACTACTTTAAGAGAAAGGAGAAGAAACTCGATTTTTCTAAAAAATTTATTTTCAAATAATTTTTATTTATTTTGCCAGACATGACAACTTTTTTTCAAAAAATCAAAAGAAAAGAAGAATAATGAATTTTACTCAAGTAGAAACATCTATACTCAGATAGACATGAAAAAATCTGAATTTTTTCTTAAGTAGAGAAATCTGATTTTAGTCAGACATTGAGTAATTGGAATTTGTACTTAAGTACATAGAGAAAACCAGTTCAGTCAGACATAAGAATAATTGGAATTTTCAACGAACGGAAATTAATTTATATTGATAATAATTTTTAATTTTATTATACCTACTTGTATTACATACTTTTATATACTTTTTATAGTTTCATTATATTTGTATAAATCTCTTTTTTATTCCAAGCAGAAAAATCCGCTTTGGTTTAGACATTTTATTTCCTGCTTTTAACGAAGCAAAAAAATCCCATCTCTCTCAGACGATAAAACTTTTAACATTAATTATATAAAATCGTCTGATAATGTCAAGTTGTTTATAATTAATAATTACTAACAATTAAAAAGTACTTTACTCGAGAAATTGAAATTGGTAAAAGATATATAAATTTTATTATTACAACTTTCCGAAAATAAGTTTAAATCTTTAGCTGAAAATTTTAATTATAACTCTTTAGAAATTAAATTATTTTAATTATGACATTTTGTTAGATTTAATAATATTCTAGGGTCAGATGGGGTAAATAGAAATAAGGGGTAAATCGAAACAGTAGTTATTTTAGTTAAATCAAAAATTTTTTAAATAAATACGGCCTTACATCTTGAAGCTTATATCACCCCCAACAAGTTCTAAGTATTCTCTCATTTTCCATTTGTCAATTAACAGCAATATATACAAAAATATTTCCTATTGCATAAAAAATTGAAAATCAAACAAGACATCCTTTCACTTTTTTGACTCGCATTTGGAAAAAAATAAACTAAAAATTCATACTAAAATTTATAATTATCTCTTATTAATACTACAACAAAAATCAACTTTGATTTTTTCATTTTCCAAACTTTAATTCAAAATAGGAGACTGTTTCTATTTACCCCTAAAAACTGGAAATTCGGGGTAAATAGAAACAGCAGAAATTTCAATAATATTTCTTATAATATAAATGAGAAAATTATTTCTATCAAATACAACACTATAATATAAGAGAGAATAAGAGATAACGGGAGAGAATGAGAGAGAATAAGAGAGAACAAACCTTTATTTGTGTAATATGTTTCAACTTTTGGCATGGTTTATTTTTAAACTTATGTAATGCATTATTATTTATTAGTTTTAATTATTTTATAAATAACACAATTCCTTATGTAATTCTTTGTATCTTTTAACATTTCCATACTTGAAATTGATTTTTTCTTAATTTTTGTAAGAAATAATCAACTGTTTCTATTTACCCCTAAATTTTTGCAAAGTTGAAAAATTTAGGAGTAAATAGAAACAGTTAATTATTGAGATTTAATGATACCCATATTTTTTATTTCACCATAAAATTGTTTCACGGAAGTGTAATAATAACTCAATACACAAGGAAACCGAAAGTATTCCGATTTAAAAGAAAAAACTTATGTTATTGGTGAAACTTAGCAAATCTGTTTCTATTTACCCCAACTGACCCTAATTAAATTAAAATTCTTTGAAAATGCAGTTTTTTTAAAACTCTGTAATGAAATAATAAAAACAAATAATAATAACAATGATTAATTTGATTATTCTTTATACGATTTTATTTTTAAATTCAAGTATCTTTACAAAATTAAATTAAAATTTTTCAATCTAATTTTTCCATAATATTTATTATTATTATTAATTTTTTTACAGCAATTGGAATTTTTTTAAATTTTAGTTTAAAACCTTATGAAAAACAATTTTTTCTAAAAATTGCAAATGTTTTTTACATAATTCTTTTCTAAGTTACTTAGAATAAATAACGTTAAGAAATTCTTTTTCTAGAATTTAATTATTTAAAATAACTTTTAAAAAAAAGTAAAAAACTTTTTAAAATTCAAGTGTTATTCAAAAGTTTTAAAGGTGAAAAAAAATTCTAGGAAAATTAAATGCTTTTAAGTATTTAAAAACTTGTTTTTCGACGCCAAAAAATACAAATTTTTTGTAATAATTGCAGAAATTTGACATTTTTCCAGCACTTTTTGATAAAATTGCCTGACATTTTTCTGAATTCTCTGACCAATATTGTTTTTCTAAGTTTTTTATAATTTCTTTGAATCTGCGTCAATCTAATTAAAAGTTTTTTAGTTTTATGCAAAATGTTATTTTTTTTATTGTAGAACTAAACTCTTACTTACTAATAATTACAAATAATTAAACAAAATTACTTATTCATGCTTAAGTAGATTGGATTTGCTCAAATAGATTCCCTACAATGGAATTTAATTATTTGGCAAATGGAAACTAGGAACATTAAATTTAATAATATAAATAATAATAAATAATGATGAAAAGAAATAAATGAAGTAATAAATAAGATAAAAATATAAATTAAGTAATAAATAATAAAAAAAATTGTGAATGAAGTGATAAATAATATAAAAATAAATATTAACTAATAATGATATGAGAGTGATAATAACAAATTTTAAGTATAAAATAACGATATAATTTTATAGAAAAAGTAATAGTAGAAAAATTTAAAAAATAAAAAAGGTAATTAAAATAATAAATTAAAATAATATCTAAAATAATGAAAAATAACAAACACAAAATACAAAAGAATAAAAGTATTTTTTTGTCTGAAAGCGAATAATGAATTACAAACTATTGTCTAAAAGAAAGAAATAAATTACAAGCACAACAAAAAGAGATGAAATTCAAAAATTTGTAATTACATAAAAATATATTTTACAAACAAAAATTTTAATTAAACACCAAAGGAATTTCATTTTCGTATGAGAGAATCGTGTTCTAAAATATGTAGGGTACATATTTCTTGGCAATTTTTTCTTCTCTTTTCTTACTCCTTTATATATGCTTATAAGAAAATTAAACCATTTAATTAGCAAAAAAAAGAGGAAAATATACACATAATATATAAATAACCAAAATGCCTACACATTTTTCCTTTCCTCAAGGTGAATAAATAATGATGCTGTAATACACAATAATAAAAGGCCAACGTCAATGAACGTGTGTAATACGATAGTATCAACTAAGTATATAAACTTGGCATAAATTTAAATCCAGCTTCAAAGTTAATGCGTGGGTAGATAAAGGGAGGTTAAAGCTCGAAAGCTCGAAAGCTTTCGTGCGCACCGCAAGTGGCGCTTTCTATTTCAATATGGTTGCCACTTTGTAGCATCTCGTTCGCATATTGTGGTTTGCTGTAAGTTTATCTCTATTGTGAATCAATTTATCATCAACGAATTAACGTAAGTAGATTAATTTTCATCAACTAATGATAATATTTTCATAATATAACATTAAAATACAATCTAAATGTGCTTTTAAGAACGGAAAAAGGAGAAATTTTCTGAAAAAGCAACGATGATATATAAAACCGGTGTTCTTGCGTATTCTCTCCTTGCGATCAATAAAACGATGGTGGGTGGCATGTTTTGACAGTTTCCTCAAATCATCAACCAAATAATATATAAACAAAAACAAACTCCTGATTTCAATTTTTAACAAAACTTTACTTTTTTTCTTTATTCATCTATTCATCTTCTTTATTCATCTAGAAAAAGTTCTGTCCCTCCTCTCCTTGTGAAATATTTTCACATCACGACAATAATGAATTTCGTGTAAATATTTTTTCGAAAGGAAATTTTTTTTTATTTTTCATTCTCAAAAAAAAGGTAGTGAAGCAATGAAGAGAAGGAAAGTGAAATAATGCGTATATAAAATAGTGCAAAAAAAATTTCTACGTCTCATTCATTGTGAAACGATGAATGGAATGTGAGGGGGAAAAATTGGGTGTTTCGATGACAGTGACGTATTTAAAGACGTAGATTGAGAAAATTTTTGCTATTGAATACAAATTTTTTATTTTTAAAGTGATTTGTGGAGAAGTATTAAAATAGAGGGATAGATGAGTGGAGAATAAAAATATTTTTCCCTATATGATAAAAAAGTGATAAGTGTAGTCTGAGAAAAAAAATTCCCTGTGGACTGTTTAGTACCATTTGATTTGTTTCGTCACTGGAATCTGATCACACCCTAAAAACTCTCATCTTTCACATTCCGAGAACCCTCCTTCGATAACATTGAATCGCAGGTTATTACGTTACTTTAATGTCTATCATTTTTTTCAGAATCAGGAAATCCTTAATGATTGTAAGTTATTCTGCTCGGTCATAATTAACCTTTAATTTACTACAATTAAAAAAATATTTAATATTTAATATTAAATGTAATTATTTATTAATGATATTAGAGAATAATTCAAAATAATAATAATAATAAAAATTATAATATTAACCCTAGAAGGAGTACGTGAATTTACTCACTTACTTTTTTTTTTACTTTCAACTTGTTTTATAAAGTTTCTATTTGAAGTAAAAAAAATTATGTGTAGTGATTTGGTTGGTTTTTTTAGTAAGGAACACAATGATATTATTCATAGTTTGATAAATTAAAAGAATTTTGAAAAAAAATTGGAAAAAAACACCAAAAAATTGCAAAATTGACTTTTTTTTTACAAAAAACGCTGTAGTTTCTTAAAAATTTGACTAATTTAAAAACTATTTTATGTTTTTAAAGTTAAATAGATACACTTTTAGGGGAAAAAATTAATTTTTGTATTACATACTTTAAAAAAAACATAATTATTTGAACATCTGAAGTGAAAGAAATTAAAGACAATTGTCGAATAGTGAATATCATAAAAATGAACTATAAAATTGACTTTAACAATTAATATTTAATATATCTGAATATATTAACATTAAAATTTATAACTTATGAAGTGATTCTGTAAATTAATATTTAATCAAAGTTTTAATTAGCAATTTTAAATATCTCTAATATATGTATGTTAAAATATTATTAACAATATAGAATTTATAATTTAAATTTGACTGTCATTTACCACATTTTTTTGTATTAGAATTTAATCTCTGACTGTAGAAAGAACACAGAAATTTTTAATAAATCTTAACTCAAATTTCATAAGTTGTTACAAATACAGAATGTCTATTTTTCATAAAAATGAAAAATTGAGCTGTTGATTGCATTGCATGAAATAATACCTTAACCTACTTTTTATCTTTACTAGAAATTAAAATAAAAAACTTTTTGTAATGTCTTCATCTGCCGTAGGGTGGGCAAATCCTATTGAGCGGCACTGCATATAATTAATAAATTTATACCAATCTGCAAAAATTAAAAAATTTTTTTTTTGAAAAATTCATAGCTTTTGTTCAGTTTAATATTTTTTCATCAAATATGGCTAATGTTTTAAGTTACACTAATACCTAAAAGACTGACAAATTTTACTTCAATCGGGCAAAACGTTTTCCAGTGATGCGCGAACAAAATTTTGCAAAATGTTTGAAATCAAAAATTTGGTTTTATCTTATAAATTGGAGTTTATTTTTAAATTTCTTCTTGAAAATTAACATTTGCTTTTACTGAAAATTCTCTATTAACAATAAAATTTTAATTTTATGAATGTTAATAGGTTATTTTTTTTTATTTCTTTGGATGAACTTCCATAATTTTTTGTAATTTATATTTTTTTAATACCTTTTAATTTGTATTTCTTGTAAATTTGCGTGTATTTTGATATTTTCAATCAAAATTTATTATTATTATTATTTTTCATTCTTTATTTATTGTAATTTGTATGTTTTAAATATTTGTTGAATCTCTTAATTAATTGTCATTTCTGATTTTTAATATTTATATTTTAAATTTATTGTTTTTAATTTATTAATTTTTTCAATACCTTTTTTTGTTGTTAATTCGTTTATATTTTTTCATTTTTATACTTATTTGTATTCAGTCTCAAAAATTAGATTTTTATAAATATATTAATAACTATAATAAAGATTGCTAAATAAAATTATTTTTTTTAAAGACGGTTATATGTAAATAAATAATTTATTTTTATTCATTTAAAATGATTTTTATTTTTTCTGTTATTTTTAAACACTCTTTAGATCTATGATTATTTGTATTTCAAGTTTTATTTTATTATTATCTATTTAGGGTTTTTTATTATTAATTAAGTGTTGAAGTTAACGATCACTCCGAGTCAAGCCAATGGAAAAAATTAAAACAATTCCTTTAACGTTATCAACGCAGCAAAGCTGTCCTCTTCAGTCCTTCTTGAGTGATAGAATCATTAATATTATTATTGTTTTCTATTATTCTTTAATCTTATTATTTTACTTTTTTTCTATTAACTGTTCATATGGACAATAGGAAAAAAAATTTTTCATTAGGTCAGCTATAAATATCCAAATAGATACCAAATATTTTAGAAATTTATGTTTATATTACAAAAAAGAAGTCATTTTTTAGTTTATTTGTTTGTTTAGTTTTGTATTCATTTATTTCTTTATATATTAATTAATTTAATTGTTTATTTACTTGTTTATTTTTTGTTCGTTTAGTTATTTTTTTCTTTATTTACTTGTCAATAAAATACAATATTTAATATTTAATAAATGATATATGATAAACAAATGGTAGGGGAGAGTGGTCCTAAGTTGGCCGCCTAAGCAAATTGGTCAAAAATATTAACAAAATGAAATTTCATCACTTCGGCAAGTATATATTAGTGTTCAGAGATCGTTTTGCTATAATTTTGTGGTATTTAGAACGTTTTAGAATGGCTTTTGTAGTCTTAATACAATAAATAGTAAAAAGCTGCATTTTGGACATTTCTGAAATAGCGGTCCTAAGTTGGCCACCACTTTTTTTCGCTTGTGTATAAGGAAGAAATGCATATTCTTTTCAATTACGCAGAAATTTGACAAATTTGATACATTTAGCAGAATAAAAACGCATTATTGAACTATTTTTGTTTAGAAAATGAAGGATTATTTTATTTCATTTATTTGCAGTGGTGGATGGCTGTGGAGACAGGCGTTTTTGTACTATGTCTTTTCTAATGTTTTTTAAACCATTTTTTTTTTGTTTTTTGTCTTTGTTTAATTCCTACGTTACACTTTTAAGGTCTTTCTCGTGATGAAAAACACAAAAAAGAAGCAAAACATAAATAAAAACAAACAAAAACAATAGGTGGCCAACTTAGGACCACTGTAGATTTTTACAAGTTTCAAATTATTACGCTAATAAAAAAAATTTATTTAAAAAATCAACAGAACCTCTTATTACAACATTAAATAAAGGAACTAGCGCACACACTCATTTAGAAATTTTTAATTATTAATTTATCTCTTGTAGCTGCTCTCGAAAAAACAAGAAAAATCAAATTTTTTTGGTCGAAAACAATATTATTGTCCTCACAATGCGTAGAAGAATCTTAGATTATAATTAGGTCCATAAATTATATCATGGTTTATCAATATATCATACCACAAAATTATAGATTCGTCCAGTATACCATCTCTGAGAAATGCAGGGTGGCCAACTTAGGCCCACGGCCAACTTAGGACCACTCTCCCCTATATTTCTTTAAAGTCTTTTTTATGAAAAGTTTCTAAAAAAAATGTATAAATTGTTAAATAAAAAGAGAATTATGATAAAAACTTTGAATAGTAAAAAGTAGCGGAGGTAAAATAGAGTTAGAGTTGTTTTTTAGCTTTTCTTGAATTATACTAGGTGTTGAGTTCTTTTAAAGTATCTCAAACCCTTTGTGTTTGCTGATTGGATTTCGTGTCTTACATCTTTGACCCAAATAAACGTTGGCTTGATGTCTCAGTGCTGATCTTAACGTTCGAAAAGCTTTCCGAAGCCAGTGACAATGTGTACACATCAAGAGAAACGAAACTCAAAAAAAAAAAGAAAAAAAACTCCGTTCCACTCACGCCTGCTCTTTTTCTCTTTAAACGAGATATCGAGTTGCCTCAGCAAACAACCTAACATTGCTATCCTAAAGGTAGGTCCTCTCTTATTTCGTCTTCATTTTTTCCCAGTTGCAGAGTAAAAAGAAAACATCCACTTTTCCAAGAAATGTCATCGTCGCTTAAATAACACTCTTTTTTCTCAATCTTTAACCTTTTTTTTCTCCTCATTTTCACTTATTATAATTGTTATTCTATCCCTTTTTTGTCATCTATTTTTTATCTTTTTTTTTGTGTTTGTAAAAAAATTTTCGAAAGTCAAGTAGATATTTCGTGAGATTTTTTCCTGAAGTCAGCAAAAATATTTTTCGTCTGAAAAAGAGTATATATAGAAAAATGAAAAGAAAATGGATAAAAATGAATTTCTTGTTGGAAAAAGGAAAGTTTTCTTAAAAAAA